GGGATGCGGGGCAGGGAGGGGATGCGGGGCAGGGAGGGGATGCTGCGGACCGCGCCGCCCCGGCTCGCCCCGCTGCCCGGGGCCGGCACGCAGCGGTGCGGTTCGGTGCGGTTCGGTTCGGTTCGGTTCGGCTCGGGCAGGCAGCAGCTCCCGGCTGGCAGCCCCGCTCTCCTCCCCAGCGCCGGCTTTGCTTTTAAGGTGGAATGCCAAAAATCATCCTGCAGCCGCTCTTTGCTGCGGGGATTGGGCTCGCAGCTCAGAGCTGTCACCCTTCCCTTTCCCCCCCGCCGCTGCCTCCAAGGTGCCTTTCCAAGCTGCTCGGGGTTCCGGGGCAAACCAGGGGAGGATGCTCCGGCCAAAACCCGAGGCTTGCCCCGGCATCACTCCCCACAGCGCTGCTAGCCTGGTTTGCCCAGGCAATTAGAGACTTACATAAAGAGTTAAAACAAAAATCTCTACAGTGTGATAGAAAAAAATCTCAAGATCAGATGCACAACCGCAGAGCTGCAATTGCATATACATATGCTGGGAAAAAATAGGACACACTCTGTGTTTGAAATTCAGCTTCATGGCACTCCTTTACTCCAAAATTGTACAAAGATCAGAAAAAGATTTTTTTTTTAATTTTACCAGGGTTTATGATGTTTGATTGGAAAAAAATCAAGATTTAAATTTTTGTCCTTACACCTTCCGGACACAGAGACAGCCATCGAGGACCTGACTCTGTTTTTCAGACAATACTCCCAAGTCTTATGGTTTAGTGGGCACAGGTTCCTGCATCCCTCTCTGCACATCCCACTCTTTGCGTGGACAGCCCTACACTGCAGGCAAAGTCACCTCTCCACATGGACACACGGCACAAACGGGGTGTGTGCTCCAAATATTACACTTTCTTTTTAAACACAAAATGAATGCCACTTCTGTAGAAGCTACAAATTAGGACAGGATTTTTTCCCATTTGACACTTGCAGACTATGCAAAGCAAGTACAGCATCCTTAAAGGAAGCTCTTGGTATTAGCACCTGCTCAAACTGGCAGCAGAACAGAGTTTTGATGATCACTTTAAAGAGCTACTTTCTAAATGCTGCTGCTTCTCTACTGGTAGGGTAACCACACTTGCAAGTTCACTTTCTAACATTCAGCAAAATCAGAACCAAAAATACTCTTAGTGGGATCCCATTCACACTGCAAGAAGGGAAGCCTCTCTGCCTCCTAAGGGATGCTGACCAGCAAAATGCCAGCAAAGCCAGGTATTTTTAACACCAAGTTCAGCTGTAGCAGTAGTAACAATTTAAAATACCGTAAATCTAACTTCATCAGAACCAGGTCAGCACTTTCTGCCTCACTCCATACCCTTTACTTCATCCTTTTTCACATGGACTCATGTCTTCCACCATTCAATGGCTGAGCAGAAACAAACACAACCATAACACAGCCAGAATGCTTCCACACGGCCTGGTGTGGCTGGGAAGGATTTCTCTGTCTGCTCCTAGCCCCCCATGAGCCCATGAACATGACTTTTCTCCAGCAGCATGCTCTGCTGCAAACCCGAGCTCTGGTTCCAAGACCCAGTGCAATGTAGAATTGCAAACCCCCCTGTGAGCCATGTTCAGATCAGACTGCTAATGCTGTAATGCATGCACATACTGGATCATTTAAAACACATTAATGCATCCATACACTTTTAACATAGATTTTTCCATCCATGCCCACATACAAATCCTTGTTTAAAGAAGAACCTGTTCAAAGAACCTAAAACTTTCAGTCACCAACAATTAGGTAAAATAAACTAATAACCAGTGTCAAGAAAGAACATGTACCGAGCAAAATTTTCCACCCATCAAAAGCATAGAAGATGGCACAAAACACATTTGAAGCACTGCAAAAGAGTATAAAACCCAGGAAAGGGATCAAACAAGCAAATTAGCACACAAACAGCTCATTTATGCACTCAAATTAATTACAGGGCCATAAAGCAAACTACTGCCTAGAGAGGAAGCAGGAGCATCGCTGCTCTGGCTCCCAGTGTTTACTGAAGGAGATACACAAAGGCAGGGTGGCTTAGTACACCAAAAGCAATCAACACTAAAGAGGACTTACTGCTATTTTTTGGAGAGTTGTTTTGACTGATGTCCATGTGTCCAGTCTTCTATCCAGGATTAGGATAAATTTAGTGTCAGACTCATGCTGACTGCAAGATAAGAAAATACCAATAACCAGATAATGTTCCAAGAAAAGTGACTCTGTTTCCAAAAGAGCTCCAAATCCAAGAACTTGGAATGTAAACCACATTTTAGTATTTCTACACTTCCTGAAATTCCCTTTGAAAACATTTTCCTGAACACCCAAACTCTTTCCAGTGGTGCTTGGCAACAGGACAAGGGGCAACAGGCAGAAACTGAACCACAGGGAATTGCATCTGAAGATGAGGGAAAATGTCTTTTCCTGAGGGTGGCTGTGCACTGGAGCAGGCTGCCAAGAGAGATGTGAAATCTCCTTCTCTGTATATTTTAACCCCCCTGGGGCTTTTCATATCTCCAGATACTCCAGCACAGCCTACTGCAGGGGAAGCTGCTGTGGCTGGGGGGTTGGACTGGCTGATGCTTGAGATCCCTTCTGACCCAAGCCATTCTCTGTGATCCCACAGCTCCCTTCCCAGCCCCAGCCCAATCTTGTGGTGATTCTGGCTGTGCTAGCCCAGGGTGAAGCATCACCTGTGAACTGTGTGACAGCACACACCTAGCACACCCCTGGGACAGCACACACCTGTGACAGCACACCCCTGTGACAGCACACACCTGGGACAGCAGATTGCTCTTGAAACCCCAAGTGGCCTCGAGGAGGTGCAGAGAAGCTGTACCCCTGGCCAGCAGGATCCCCTAGCTGATGCCCCAGGACCCCCCTGCCTTCACTGCCCAGGTTAGAGCAGCCCAGCAGTGGCTCCTGGCTTGTTTGGGCAGGAGGCAGCAGAGGTGGCACCAAGGCAGGGCAGAGACATTAGATGTGGTGGCACCAGGCAGGGCAGGGCAGTGCCAGCCTGGCAGGGGCAGGGGCAGCTGTGGTGGCTCCCAGCCCACCAGCCAGGGAGGCAGAGATGCTCGGAGGCGTTTCCAGCACAGCCTGGCTGCCTGGGCGGGCACAGGCTCCTGGCGTCCCTTCTCACACCCAGAGCTTGGAGCTGTTTGCAATGGGCAGTCTGGGCAAGGCTGGCAGCAGTGCCCGCTCTGGCAGCGCCCCAGGGCCCAGGGCTGTGTCTGTAATCCCAATATTGCTCCCCAGGCAGGCAGGAGCAGCCCAGCTGGGCCAGCACATGCTGCAGGCAGGGAGGCACAGCTCACCCGTGTGTGCTCACTGCTGCACCTCCTGCTCCGTGAGTGCCTTTACAGGACAATATTTGTTCTGTGGGTGCTGCCCAGGACAGCCGTGCCCACACCACCCTGCCCCCAGCACACGGGCTCCTCCCAAGGCTCAGGTGTGTGCCCTGGGCACAGCCTGTGCAAGCAGCCCCTCGGCAGCATCTCTGCCAGTTCCCGTGTTTGGCAAGGCAAGCAGCCCTGGATTGCTCAGAAGGATCTCACGGCAGACAACACTTGGCAACTCGCTACAGAAAAGAAGAAAAAAGACACTTGCAGGCAGTGCAGGAGCTTTCATTCAGTGCACATTTTCTGCTCTGGTCTGGGGCAGCTACAACTCTGACAAGTGCATTTAAGAGGAATTAGCAGCGGTGCTCAGAGGGATAAAAACTAAAATTCCCTCTGACTCATAACAATAGCTGACTGAAGACACGGAGAGGCACCCGGCTCCCAAGCTGTCCTGTGACACATCCTATGGGTCTGTACCTTCACACTCAAAGTGCAAAGGTTTCAGTTGAATTTATTCAGTGCCTTTGAAGCACAGGAGAAAAGAGCAGAGAAAATGAACATCACATTTTACATGTGGGTCATGCACAGAACACATGTAATAAAGTCTGAGGCTGTGAGCATGGTCAGCGTGACTTTTCAGCCAAAACCTTTATTTGCTTGGAATAGTTTAGGCAACATGAGACAATTCTGCAGATTTCTGTTAGCTCTGTTCACCCCCACCACAAGCTAAGTGGCCCAGGTGGGTGGGAACAGGCCGAAGGAACCTTTGGTATGAGGCAAAAATAAAACCCTTTGGTTTTTCAGCACACTCTAAAATTTTTAAAGGCATGTCTCTGAACTATAAAGAACAATTCCCAACTCCTCTGGTGTTTCCTAAGAGTCTGCAATTGAAAAAAAAAAAAAAAACAAAAAAAACCAACATGTTTCCACAGAACTACTATCATAATAAGACCTGAAGAAAACCCCAGAATCCAGGTAATTTAGAAAAGGCAGCCAGACTGTAGTGCAGTGCCAGTTAAGCAAAGCTGAAGTCATTAACTCAGGGCAAGGTTATGCTCAGAGAGCAGCCTCTGAGCATGCTAATGTACTTTTATCAGCTCCCTTAGACAAAGAAAGAGGAAAGTTCCCAGCAGTCTGACAGCCTTGACACCTCCTGTGAGAAATTTGTCATTTATTCTAGGCCAGTGAGAAAGTCTGTGACTATTTGCAACCCAGGCCTTGCAGGTTTATCAGATTTCCAGGCCCGTGATGTACCTTTTAGACTGACAATAAAAATAAATCAATGCTTTCTACCAAGGCTCTGAGGGCTCTTTGTTTGCATCCAGCAGCAGAAAGATGGAGGCAGATAACCAGGGCAAGGATTATTTCTCTCTGGGTGTTTCTTGTTGCTTTTTGATGCACCAGACTAAAAATAAAGACCTGGGATGTTTTGCAGGACTTGAAATTGGACCCTGGAGGCTGCAGTTGTGAGATTTAGCACAGGACTGAGAGGCTCCTTGCTGCTTTGGGATCAGAGCACGCCGGCACGACCTGCCCAGGACTGAAATCCAGGATATTTATAGGCACCAGAGCTGTGCTACCACCCCAGCTCTGAGCCACCCTGTGCCTCACCTCCCAGCCTGAAGGAAACGGGCAAAGCTTGGCTAAATACCAAAAAGCTGGAGAGTCACAGAAAGAACAGGACAGGCCAGAATAGGATGTGATATTGTAGTAGGAAGGGACCCAGAGTGATAACCTGCCCAAATGTCTGAACATTTCAGCTAGGAGATGCTGGTAAGGGCATTGTCCAAGTGCCCCCCGAGCACTCAGCTTGTGCTGTAAACACCACACTGTCCCAGCCCTCAGTCCAAGCCTGGATAACGTGCTGCTCTCTCACTCCTCAGGTCTCTTTCTGCAATCACCAGGATCTGTCACACTCTCTGCTCCCAGCACAGCACTGCAGGTGCTGCTCAGCACAGCCAGCCTGAAGGCAGGCAGGCAGGCAGGCAGGCAGCATTTTGAGCTGGATGTGCACAGAATAGAAAGTGGGCATCTATTACTTATTCTCCCTTCCAGCTCATCCACACAAGTACTTTCTCAGCTGCCCCCTGCCTGCAGCAGTTCCCAGGAATACTAAAAATTCACTTGCCTGCAGACTCACCTTCCTCCTGGCTCTGCTGTTAATGCACTCGCCTGGAGGGCTCAGGAGCAGCTTTCAGCATCCATCTCCTTTATCTAACAATTCTTCCCAGCAGAAGAATGCCTCACGAAATTCGGCTTCCCAAAATACCACAAACCATTCATCTTGCCCAAATACTACAAAGTGACCCACGAGGTTTGCTCAGACTGGCACAGGTAGGACACCATGCAGGGGTGTGTGGCTTGATCTGCACATCCACAGGGAAGAAGGTGCTGGTGCACCTTCCCCTAACCCTGGGACTTGAGGAATGAAATACCTCTGGCAGGTAAATATTGACCTCTTTTAGGGGCTTTCTGGGCCACAGTCTGAGCTCTGGTCCCACGATGTGCTGCTGCTGAGGGACATGTGTACCTGCCACCCCCAGCTAGTGATGCTTTGCCTGGTCACCCTTTGGAGCCTTCCAGCTCCAAGGCTTTAGGAGCACACATTTCTAGGGTGATCAGACATGGGGGCAGGCTGCTATGGGGGGAGGAGGAGCAGAGCAGGATGATTAAAGCAGTTTTACTAAAAGCAAGCTGAATGTGTTTGAATCACCAGCAAGCTCGAAGCTCTCATTAGTTTCCTGATTGAGTTTGACCCATTACAGGCCCATCAGGCCTGCTCATCATGCTAATGCCAGGGTGTTCACATCCAGCCTTGGAGAAACCAGACAGAGCTGGCAAGTGCAGATGCACAGAGCAGGGCTGCCTGCACAGGATGAAGGAGAACCCCTCTGGCCAACACTTGGCAGGGCTCTGTTCCTGCTGAGCCAGTGCTCTGTGGGCCAGAAGCCCTTGAAACCTCAGAGTCCATCAAAAAGAGGACAGAGGAACCAGAGCATCCTTTTTTTCCTTTTTTTTTCTTTTTTTTTTTTTTCTGAATAGAGGTGCCTAAACACTCCACACTTCTTCCAAAGCAGCTGCTAATGGAAAGCTCCCATCTAGCTGCTGTCAGCCTGCTCTCCCTGCAGGAAGAAATTTGCCAAAACAGGCATTATTCAAGAAAATTAAGGATTCCAGGTAACTGAGTCACCAGGCCCAGCAGCAAGAATTAGGAGGGCCATTAATCTAAGTGTACAGCCCTGTGTGAGGCACAGGCAGACTTACCCTGACACACAGGCAGGTAATGGGAGCTGCTGCTCTCTGCTGAGCCATCAGCTGTCAGGGGACCCCAAAGGCTTTGTTCTGTAATTAGTCTCTTCCTCTGGCTTCATTTCTCTTTTTCCACAGTAATGACTCTCTATTTGTACACGTCAAAATATTATTTTGCAGTGGCATGGTGTATTTAAGTGGTGACACATGCCAAAGCTTGAGGAAAGCTTGTTGTTAATTAGAAACTTCATCAACTGAACGTGTGATACATTCCAGCTGACAGGTCACAGGGAGGATGTCCACTCCTTCCTGTGCAGTTCCTGGCACATCAAACACCTCACCTGGGCACTGCAAGGGCCTGCATCCCTGTGGTGCTCTGGGAGCTGCAAAAACCCCTCAGCCCCACACCTGGCTGTTGTCACCCTGATTCTTAAGATTTTCTAAAGCCTTCTGAGTTTACATTCTGTTGGAGAACTTTCCCACACAATTTCTGTAAACAACATATTGTTTTGCATTCCTTCATGGGGGTGGAGAAACTTGATGTACTAGTGGTTTGTCCAATGTCTTTGGAGAGGTGGCCCGTTCACTCTCCAATCCACTGTCACCTTTGGGAAAGTATAAAGGTCGGAGTCAGAGAATAAACTTTCTTCTTTACCTTGCAAATAGCAGGTGGCTCACGTCGTGCTTTCACGTGTCCTATAGCGACAGGCTGTGCCCTGCAGTCCCTGCCCAGCCCAGGCAGAGCCCACCTCTGCCAGCCCAGCCCAGAGCCAGCAGGAGCCTCCTACCTCGGGACTGCAGTCAGGTAGGTCAGCACCTTGGACACGCTCTCCTCGGGCACCTGGTTGAAGCCAGCGTTGTCGGGGAGGGTGATAATCCAAGCCTTGTCCTTCCCCCTTCCACCTGCAAAGCACACAGGGATGCTCCTGCCACGCTCCTGAGCAAAGCCACGGGCAGCAGCCAGCTCAGAGCCCACGCTGCCACTGCCAGAGGGGCTTTCATCCCTACGGCAGCAAAACACAGCCAAGGCAGCCTCTGAGCCCAGGCACAGCACACAGCTGAGCTGCCAGAAACAAATGTGTGAGTACCAGGCATGCCCTTCATTTACTGGGTGTACTTTACACGGGACAGCAAAGGAAACAGAAATACAAGGGCAAATAAACAGGCTGGTCTGAACCTACAGAAATACATCTCACAGCAGAGTGCTTGTTAAGCATTGAGTGCTGGGAGCTCAGAATGCTTTACAGTGTGGCACGAGACAGAAACCTAATCTGCTCTTTCAAGCTGCCCCCATGTTTTATTAACAACATTTCTAGTGGCACTGGACACTTCCTGGTGGGTAATAGCCCGTGTGAAGTATCACTGACAAACAGCAAAGAAGTTTGTCTGGAGTATTTAATTACCACAGGGAGAGACAGAGACCCTGGGGATGTTCTCGTACTCACCAGACAGAAAAGCAAACTCCTTCATCAGATCATCACTGATGTCCTTTGCACAGATGGGTATTGCAGTTTCTGGAGAAAGGGAAAAGCAACAATCCAAATAAAGCACAAATCCAAAGCAAGCACATTTATCAATGTGTTAATGCAAATGCGGAACTTGAACTTCCCTCAACTATACCTGAAATTGTGTAATAGAGGATATGTGGATCTTAGAGATGTTATTTCCAATGTTTCTAATGACTCTAACAGGGTGAAAGTCACAAGTCAGCAACAAATGCATTCCACCAAGTGCACCAAGGCAGCACTTAGCTTGAGTGGCCTCCCCTCACCGGGCCACATGCGATGGAAATTTGTGTATTTTGGAGTTTGCAGTCCCACTCCCTGCTTTACAAAGTCTCCCAGTGCTTCCCAGCCTTGGCAGAACAATGGGCTGAGGTTTCTGCTGGGAACTGCAACGTCCAAGGCTGCTGCACTGGGAGGAAGGCTGGGCTTTCAGACTGTCACAGTCTTTAATTTTGAACAAATAAGCTTCTGAAATCACGCTTTCACCTGGCATGGGGCCACAGAAATTGGAGAGGCTGTTGTTCTTATGTTCAGTTATTAGATTTCTTCTAATTAAATCATGGCAGAGGCTGTTTCAATACCATATTTAGCACCATGATCATTTCAGAGGCAATGAAGCACATCAGAACAACACACACAGCTTCACCTTGCCCTGGGAGCAGGAAACAAAGACCACACTGACTAAACACAAGAGGAGCTTAAAGCTGGCAGACGTTTTTCTGGATTATCTATAAATGGAATGACAGCTAAAAATCAAACATCCTTGTTCCTGCAAATAAATGTTTTGAAGCACATCTATACAGATTAAAGTCCTTGGGCCTTCTGATAATCAAATTGTAAACACTGATTATTTCACGGAGTTGGTCCTAGGGAATAATCTTCTGGCAGTTTTAGATCAGACAGGCTGCATACTTCAGTACACTCCAGCATAATCAATATTTATTCTATTTCCCTTTCTTCCAGAAGCTTTCTGGTCACTTCTACTTTATCTGAAGATTTTTCAGGCCTGTGCTGGCAGCACAGCAGCCCAGATGTGTGTGGGGTACTCTGCCTCCCACAGCCCCACCAGCCACTGGCTCTCCAGGCACACACACACTGCTGGTTTTCCCTCCTGCAGATAAAAATGTGGGGTTTGCTTGTTGAGGATTGAGCCTCAGTCCCAGTGGCATCCACAGAAACATTCTTGATTTTAACAGGCCCTAGAATTGGTCTTGGTGAGAAAGAAGTTTGTCTTGCAAAGATACTTCAAATACTTGTCTCTCATTGAAGTGCTTCACCCAGCTTGAGGACAAGCAGCAGCAACAGACTTCTATTCTATTTGTTGATTTTTTTTCCATCAGGTTAATGGTTTCATACTGATAAAATTCACATTTAATACGCTAATAAGCTCAAACACTTAAATTAGACTACATCAAACGTGTGTCACTGACCATACGAGACAAAAGGCTGTGCACACGTGCTGGCCCCAGACCAGCCTGGGGCTGCTTGTGCACAGGCAGGTGAAGCCTGGCCCCAGAGCCCACCCTGCCCAGCCCTGGCTTCCCCAAAATGCAGCAGCAGCCAGGCCAGGCACGGCCTGGAACGTGCTGGAACCCCCGTGCCAAGAGCTCGACAGCAGCCAGGCTCCAGGCTGGAGCAAACGTGGCTTTTGTTTGCTTCTGCACTGGTATGGGAGGATGTGCCAGTCCATGGAGGCTGCCCAGGAAACAGGCTGCAGAGAGGAAGGTAACCTTCCCATGGTCAAAAAAAAAATCACTTAATTTAAAAGTTTCACAAGACATTTTCTCACTGAGAGCCACCTAACAAGGTGCAGGGAGGCGGGGGGAGTTGGTGCCCATCCTCTGGGATAATCCCACAGCACAGAGGAGCAGGATGCTGCCCCTTGGCAAGGTCAGGGCACAACAGCCTGATTGTGGTGAGATTAGAGCTGCTCCTCAGCCAGCTCATCCCTGGCACTCACTCTGTGCTGGCCACTGGACTCACCCTCCTGGGCAAATATTAGGGAAACCAAGTGCTGGCATCAGACCCACGAGTGTGCTGTGTGTGAGGCACTTCAGTGGGATGCTGCAGTAAATCCTGAGCAGAAGCATGACCTTTGTCCTCAAATATTACTCTGCAGAAAGAGCACTGAGAGGCAGCGAGGCACCAAAGACTCTCAGACAAGCTTCAGTTGATGTTCTGTGGCAAACTGGGGATTTTTTACTGGAGGCCACTTTTGGACAGTACAGAAAAGACCCCAGGGTGCTGCCTGTGCTGGCTATGAACAGCACAGCCAGTCTGCATCTCCTTGGCACAGGCCTGGAGGCCTTCAGGAAACTCCACTCATTTCTTTCAAAGCCAAAAAGAGGCTTTGTGACCATCAGCTGTTACAAAACCCAGCCTGGACTCCCCAGCACCATCTCAGAGCACTCTACAAACCACTGTCCCCACACAGCTGGCACAACCTCCAGCTTTAGGGTCTTATAAAAACCAGCAGCATCTGGATGGAAAATGGTCACAACAGTGTAGTGCCATTTTTAGATAGGCTCTAAAATGGGCATTCATAAAACGCTGCTGCAGTTATTGCATTCAGAGGCCCCTCTGCAGGGAAGAGTGTTGCCATGATACAGAGTTTGGAAGCCAAGCAGGGAAGAGACAAAGTGTGGCACAGAGCAGCACGTGTGGCACAGAGCAGCACGTGTGGCACAGGGCAGCACGTGTGGCACAGGGCAGCAGCTGTGCCCCTCCACAGGGCCTGCTCTGTTTGCCAAAAGGTGACTGACAGGTGCCTCACAGCCAGCTCCTGAGCCTGCTTCCTGCTTGGAGCAGGAAACTCTTGGGCAGCTGGGAGCAAATCCTGTCCCCAGCGGCTTTGGTCCCCATCTGGAACAGAACAGGCACAGGGCCAGCAGGATTTGGTGCTGGCACAGGGCCATGAGCACGTCTGATGCCAAGAGCAGGAACAAAGGGCACTGCTAAAACCCTGCTGCTGCAGGCTCTTGGACTGACCTGGACACCTGGGTAAACCACAGAATTCCTTGTTTGGGATCCCTTCTTTGGGATTCCTTGTTTGGAGTTCCTTGTTTGGGATGCCTTGTTTGGAGTTCCTTGTTTGGGATTTCAGCTGGTGGGCCATTCCCATGCCAAGTGAATGACACAAAGGACACATTAAAATATTCATGGCAAAAAGCTTCGACACCTGTGACTGCTCAAGTCCTTTTCTCCCCACAGCCCACGGGGACACTCACACCTCTCTGTGGCCCACGGGAGCTCCTGCACACCCTGAGCCCTGGTTAGCCTGCAGGCACCTCCTGCCTGTCCACAGCCAGCCAAAACTTGGCTTTCATCTCGAGGGGAAGGGGAGCAATTAGGGTTATAAGTGCCTATTTCTCTGGGAGGTATCACATGTGGGAGATGGCTCCTGCAAGGCCTGAAGTCCTGCACATGGCATGAAAGTCCCACCAGCATTAGTCCACCCCTAGGAGTGATGGCCTGGTCACCTCACCAGGTTCAAGGACTCCTTAAATGATCATTTCTCAGATGAGAGATTTTAAAGGAAGGGCTCAGTCTATTTTCAAGCTCCTTCTTTTCCTGCTCCCCAAGCACCCAGCACAGCGTAGGAAGCAGCAGCAGATGGTTCTCTCCTCTGACCCAGGGCTGTGCTTCTCCTGCGAGGCTTTCCGGGGCTCGTGTGCAGTCAGAGCTTCCGTGCAGACACATCCCCACCACCCAGGCCCGGGGGTGTGCTCAGCTGAGAAACCACACAGCAAAAAAGGAAAGCTTCTGGAAAACCAGAATGACCTTTTCGAAAGGCTTAGATATAGACACGCTGAGGATAAGAGGAAAAAGGCAAAAAGAGGTGCAGTGAAAGGAAAAGAAGGAATAGAAAAGGTCGACTCAGTGCAATTCAGGTTTGAGGACCTGAACTGGGTCAGTGTGACTGACCCGAGCAGGAGTGACCCCACCGGGGCAGCCCAGTCCCCACCTTCTGCAGGAGCCCAGCCCTGAGCTCAGACAGGACCAGCTGGGACCAGCCCATCCAGGCGGGCACAGAGCTCTGGATCTGGCTCTACAGCCAAGCTGCCAGCCCCAGGCAGCAGCATCCCCCTGCCAGGCATCCTCCCCTCCAGCAGCTGCTGGGGAAACCCTGGCTGTGGCAGCAGGAGCACCCAGGGCACCCCTGTGGCACTGTGACATTCCAAACCAGCACAGCCTCATTGCCACTGACCAGCCACTGCTGCCAGCAGGGCAAGGTGCAGCCAGATAAAGATCCCACAGCCATGGAAATGCCAACATGGACCCAGTTCTGGGAGCTGGGGCGAGCAGAGGGTCTGCAGGAGCCGTGGCTGAGCCACGCTGCCAGCCAGGAGGAGGAGGAGGAGGATGCTCAGGGGAGGTTAAAAGATCCCCTCTGCTAGAGACCATGGAGTTTTGGGGAGGGAATCTCTTCCAATCTATATTTAGCAGCTGAGAAACTGGGGAAGCTTTGCTAAGAAAAGGTGAAGCAAAAGCAAATTAAGCAGCGACAAGGCTTAGTTGTTACCTCCTGCTATGCTGTGATGTTTTCATGTCCAATCAGAAAAACCCCATGCTCACATCACACCAAACCAAGCAAAATTGGGAATGATAAAAGCCAGCTCCACCATACATGAATTCACGTCAGTTGCAAGAAATGTAATAAAAGATTCTCAACACCCACTCTTTTGGATTCAACCACAATGTGGGAGTTGAGAAAATCCAGTTTCTTGCATTTCTAACATATAGGAGCTTCAATGTACTTTAGTTTTGTCCTTTTTCCAGTTTCAGTCACTCTTCCCTTACCAAGGAGAGCAGTACATGTGTTTGCACACCAGCACCAGGGACATTTGCCAGCTGTGCAGGCAAAGGCTCATTTAGCATCTGCCACCAGTACACATCTTCCCAGTCCAAACAATCAGCCCCTAAACCAGAGCCCATTCAACACAAGAGACTTCCAAAACTCAATAAAAATATACAAACATGAGTAACTTTCCCATCATCATTCAGCACCCTGCAAACACTGATTTTTCAAAGAGAAATTCCAGCAGAAAGTAACTCCTGGGAGATAGTTCAGCAATAAATCCTTGGGCCCCACTAGCTGGCTGGAGAAGCTGGAATGGAGTTCACTGAGGACACTGGAACAATTTCTTTCCCAGCTGATATAGCCAGGAAACTAAACTCTGCAGCCAGGTTCCCCCAATGGCATCACCTGGAAACTCTACTGGAAAGCAAGGGAAAATAACCACAATTTTTCCTGAACTGAAAGTGGGAATGCCCAGTTCTGCCATTCTCCCACTGAGCAAAAGCACATTTCTAAAGCCAGCTAAGCTGCTCCTGCAGCAGGAGCAGGCTGTGCAGTGGGAAGTGAGATGGGAGGACAGAGTTGGTGCTTGCTGGCTGTCTCCAGCCCCTGGAGCAGCAGGGTGACTGCACTGTGCTGGGCCCCAGGAACAGCTCTGCCCAGCACATCCTGACTCACTCTGCCCTAAAACCAGCCCCAGCATCGCCTGGGAGCAAAAAGGGATGCAGAAACCAAGGCAGCCCCACCCAGCACTGCCACCAGCGCTCCCCACACTCCAGCTCCTCTGCCCACCCATCTTCCACTGGTCTCCCTGCACCAGGGAAGCTGCAGAGGAGCTGGGCGAGGCCGTGGCAGCCCAGCAGGCTGAGCTTGGACCCTCACTGTGCTCAGCACATGGCCCCAGAGCCACTGCCACAGTGCCACGTGCCTGTCCACAGAGCCTTGTGGCTGCTTTGTGGCTCCAGGGTGCCCTCAGTCCCACCTGCCAAAATCAGCACTACCAGAGGCTGCCCCAGCCCCGCAGCCAGGGGCAAGGTCCCAGCCCTGAGCCCCATCCCACATGCTCCGTGTCTCCAGGCATCCTGTGGCAATGAGAGCGCCTTGGAAAACTCCTTCTTTCTCTCACCATGTTCTACACCTCAGTTGTTCCCTCCCACGCAGCCCTGCTGTCACTTCTCTTCTGTCCTGGCACATGAATGATAAGATAAGCCATTAAACTCCTTGTAGCAAATGTGGTGTAGGGAGGGGAAGCACATCCCACCTACTACTGGCTGCTCCAGACTACTACTGCTCTGGGGCCACCCGAGGGCCTGGCTGGGCAGGCACAGAGCTTTTGGAGGCTGCTCTGGTTCTGCCATGCTCTGAGAGAGCCTGAGCCATTTTAGAGATGGGAACAGCATAAAAGGCTTGGGGTTTTTACAGGCTTTCATCTCAGGGTGGATCACCTTCTACTAGAAAACACCACCAAGTTTCCAGTACTGCTGCATGTAGAGAAATGGTTAAAACATGGTCCCAGATTGGGCTGAATGCTCAGAAATCAGCAATAAGGGAAAAGAACTTCTGATTTATTTTTAATCTCATGATTTGAAGAACCTTATTCAACTTTGTCTCTTTCTCAACAATTTATTTTAAGAACCTGTGTAGATGCCAAATCATGGGTCCGGATCCTGCAGCTATAACCACACAAGTGTGCCTTTGTGGGGATATTTTGGCTCTGTATGACCATTACACAAAGGTCATCTGCCAAAAGCTGGTTAGGAGAGAGGGCTCATGCTCAGAGGAAGCCCACTGCCTGCTTTCACCTGGCTCCCAGCACAGGGCTCCCAGCACGTGCACCTTCTGTGTCCCATCCCTGTGTCAGCAGCCCCTGCTCCAGCAGCGTGGGTGCTCCATGCCAACAGCAGCACCAGGAGCATTTAACCACATCTATGCAGGCAGCATCCTTTGCTAACTGACCATGACCCCCTGCCTGCATTTATCTGCTCCATTTCAGGGTGCAGGCAAAGAACAGGGCCAGGTGGGCAGGGCAGGCAGAGCAGAAGGTGCTGCTGGCACCAGCCCAGAAGGGCATGGGCACACGCAGCTGGAGAGCAGGTGACACGCTGCTGGAGTCCTCACCTGTGACCCACCCTGACAAATTCCTCCTGCACCCCCAGCTGTGCCTGGCAAAGATGGCAAGGATGCTGCCATTAGACAGGAAGCTTTGTTTGGGTCAGTGTGTCTTTTTGGTGCCCGGCACAGCTGCAAGCACTCTGCCAGCTGTAAACAGCCGAGGATCGATGGCTTTGCCTGCTTCCAACCCCTGACAAGGTGGGCATGCTCTAGTGAGGCTGCAGTCACCCCAGGGGACACCTCCCTTCCTGGGAGAAATACCTCTAACTCCCTGCAGGAAAACAGGAAAAGAATGGAAGAGCGAGGGCTGCACGCAAGTTC